CAGACACTTCAGGGGTGACTGTGGTTGTAGAAAACGGTGATCTCACCAAGTTCTTAGGAAAAACCAATAATAAGTCAATGAAAACAACCATCTTTGGCAGCTGGTAAGAGCTTAGGAACTATCTGCAGACAACTGTGAGAGAATCCTCCCAGCCCTGCCGCACACAACACTTCCATGTTCCGACCCCAGGAAACTGTGAATGTGTGACCTTACGTGGAAAGTGGGACTTTAGAGATTAACGATGTTGAGACATGACCCTGGACAATCTTGTAATCACAGGGGTCCTTAGGAGAGGCAGGTCAAAGGTAGAAAAAAAAAATGACATAAAGAAGGAAAGTTTGGAGAGGGGCCCTTTGATGGCAGAGGAAGGGGCCAGTGTGAAGAAATTCAGGTGTCCTCTAAGAGCAGGAGAAGGCACAGAACCTCTCAGAACCTCTCCCTGTTAGCCCAGGGAGACCCATTTCACCCTTTGGACCTCTAGAACACAAAGGTAGTTGTGATCTGTGGGCTACTCGTGTGGTATTTGTTACAGCAGCAATAGGAAACTAATACAAATGTACACATGAATTGATGGACAGATGGATCAGTGCATTTGTAGAGCTGACTGCAAAGGGTGCCTGCAAACAGGGCTAGCACCCCCTCCTCACCAGGGTTTCTGTGAATGTGTGTTCTGCATGTGTGCACCGTTTCTCCATGCCTCTCAGACATCCGGCTGGCTACTCGTGTCTAATCTTCTGCACATCCATTTTTTGACTGCACAAAGTAACTGAGTCAAGGGGAAGAAGACGCTGCTTGGGCAGCGTTTTTTTTTGGACATTTTATTAAACTGTTTTTGGCTTTTCCACATACATGCATTCCTGGCCCATTACAAAGCTAGAGAATGCTGTCTTAATATCAACAGAATTTCCTCTAAGCCCAGTTCCAAACCACACATTGGCCACTTTACGGGAAACAAGAACCATCCAGTCGACATCCTCCTGGGAGAGCCAATAGCCATCCCTGTGTGCAGTGGGCTTCACGGATGCCTTTTATTAATTTAAAGGAGGTGCCTGAAACATTTTAGGAACACGACAGTGGGCCACTCTCCAGGGAGAGTGCTCTGTAGGATGTGCTGGGTGAGCTGGAATAGAAAATTTCAGTATTCAGAGAAGTTCTTTCAGCATGTCAGAGAGGACTTGCATGCCTCACCTCATGGCTTAAACTGGGTATTTTGCTAGTCCTAAGGAAACAGAATGCACACGTGTGTGCACACACGCGTACACAGAGAACATGGCCCACGGTAGCGGGGTCAGCGCAGGACGTAACCGGATCCCAACGGAGAGACTTTATACAAACAGGAATGTGCTCCAGCCTGCCCTCCACCTCTGAGCAGGGCACCCCACCAACTGCATTCCCAAGAACAACTCTAATGCACAACCAGCCCGGAGAAAAACTGAGTGCAGTCGAGGGAGCTACTGTGACCCTACGCCTGTGACGCATCGCATCATGACCCAGCAAGTGCTGGACTATCTGGCCACACTCACCTCTGCCTCAGCCCGTTCAGCTGAGGACTGGCCCTGATGTTCGACATCTGGCCTTTGACCTGACACACTCTGCATAAATGCTAGTATAGATACCACTTAATCCTACTCTGCAATTTACCCTTGGAATTGATTCCTATATAATAACATCTCTGCACCTATTTACAAAAGATGAGATTGTGCTTCTCTAAGAATCCAGTCAGGCTAAACCCAGGCACAGAAATTAACGTTCTTAAATTTTCAATTACATTCCAAAGGTTTAAAAATAATTTGTTCACTGAAAAAACTCTTGAAACTGTTTAAATCTCTTCTAAAACTCGTTTTCCAAACCAACGGGCCCTTTCCTTCTTTCTTTCTTGATACCAGCCACTGTACCCAGGGGCCCTGTGCCACGTCCCCAGCCCTTTTTATATTTTATTTTGAAAGGTTCTTGCTAAGTTGCTTAGGAACCTGCTAAGTCGCCGAGGCTGGCTTAGCCTCCGGAGGTGCGGTGGGACCACAGGTGTGCACCACCGCACCTCGCTGGGCCCATTTCTTGAGTTAATACTACAATGTCACAGAGAAGGAAAGGTCATCTCCAATGACCGGGCTTGGTGAAAACATGACTCAAGCTGGCGATTTCCCATTTAGGCTGATCTTCTCCATAGATCTAATGATTTTCTTGATTCGGGAGCAGTGTTCTCCACAGGGTGACAGAGCACCCTTTTGCACAAGTTCAAGCAGAGGCTGCTCATTTAATTGGGTGACTTCCTGTCACCATTTGTATAGGTCCTGGTGATTCACAGGTTCACACACCCGATTAGCTCTTGGTCTTCCCCATGCACTCTAATTACAGGGCGTTTAAAGTGAGCACTCCACATGACCCGAAATAGCCACGAAATCATCTCGCTTATTTTCCCTCCTCTGTCCTTCACCCTGAAGATTAGAATCTTACTCTGAGAAGTAGTTAAAAAATATCTCTTGCGGCACCTACTTCGACCATCTTCTGGTAGGTGCACACCCCTCCATTTCTAAGGCCCCCTGTGCCGTTTCTGTGGTGAGCTGGTTCTCTTCCTTGGGTGTGCCCTTTGTACTTAATTCTCTGAAGGGATGAGGGTAACAGGCACCCACCCAGAAGGTATGGCCAAGAAGGGAGAAGGACTTTGGCCAGCCGCACCGTGAAGCAGAATCTCATTTTTCTTATTTCAAAAGGAAACCATAAATCTCTATGCACGTGTGCACGTTTGAATACAAGGGAAAGTATATGTATATATTCATGGGATGATTGCCTAGCTTTTTAAAATTTTAGCTCACTTCAAAGCACTCTGTGTGTCTTTCTAAAACAAACTAAACCAGTGTTTTAAAAGGGCATAGTGCATGAAATATTATATTAAGATATATTGTATTTTATATATAATATATGATATTAAAATATAAAATTCAGCCTGGGCAGCATAGTATTATATTATAGCATTGACTTTACCTGCCCAGAGCTCTGGGTTCCAGCTCCACACACCTCCAAAAAATATAAATATATAGTAAAATATATAAATATAAAATATGTGTAAAATATAGCATATGTATATATGTACATATAAAGTAATAATAACAACAACAAAGAAAACCGATTACACTGCTTGCTACTGTATTTTTCTCCACAAGGACATTATTGGACTTACACCTGGTTTCATAAAAAAGCCATTCTCTGGCTGTTGTGAGAAGTACCAAGAAATGGGACTCCAGAAGGAAACAATGCACTCACTAGTCCACCCCTTTGCATATGTTCGAGACGGAGAACAGAGAAATACCACTAACAAAACGCAAGGGATAGTACTGAGCATTAAAAGGGAATAAAATCATGGCATTTGCAGATAACTGGATGGAGTTGGAGGATATCATGCTAAGCAGAGTAAGCCGATCCCCCCCAAACCAAAGGCTGAATGTTCTCTCTGATAAGTGGATGCTGATCCATAACAGGGGGGCATGGGAAAAAATGGAGGAAATTGATTGGGCAAATGGGAGGGGGAGGGGAGGGGCATGGGGGCAGGAAAGACGGTGGAATGAGATGGACATCATTACCCTAGGTACATGTGTGACTGCACACAGGGTGCGACGCTACATTGTGTACAACCAGAGAAATGAAAGTTGTGCTGCAATTGTGTACCGTGACTGTCTCAACAGGACAGAGGAAGGAGCTATCCACGTTTAAACTATGACACGGACAGGAGAACTGCTAGATTCACCCGGAAATAACCACATCAGATTTTGAGTCAATCAAATTTGAAGATCAGATTTTAAGTCAATCAAAGCAAAGTTAAGGTAGCATTTTAGACCCAATAAAAGAGCTGAGCGTTTTTTACAAGAAATGCACTTGAGCAGATGACGGATGAGGGAACTATCCTGTTGGAAAGCATCATTTCAACAACCGTAAACGAATCAGTCGGTATCATTAACTGAGCACCTACTGTATTTGGCCGCTGGAAAGAATCATTTATTTCTGAACTGTCCTGATAGCATTCTTGTAGACAGGTGACTACGTATCCATTTCAATGACAAGGAAATGGGCAGTTTAAAAGTTACAAAGTAATCAGCTCCGGTAGGGAGACCATAGAGACAAAGCAAAGTCACTGCACACCAGCAGCTTCTCTGTCCTGTATCATATTCTGTTCATGTTTTAGAAAAAATTTATCACTATAAGGTACTTCTTAAACTTTTATTAAAAGGAAATTTCTCTAGCAAATCAAAAGCTATGTGCATAGGAATATTTATGCCAGTAAAAATTATGAGGTGCCCACGAAAAGGATTAGCAGTTCAGGTCAGGGTATGCTGATAGAAAGACAACATTTAACTTATAACTTTTGTTGTTATTGATCATACATATACATATGTGTATATAATATGCATACATATGTAACATTTCATGAATAATTTAATTCCTAACAATTAAGCCTATCTCCTACATATATATATATATATTTTTTTTTGATACCGGGGATTGAACTCGGGGGCCTTCGACCACTGAGCCCCATCCCCAGCCCTATTTTGTATTTTATTTAGAGACAGGGTCTCACTGAGCTGCTTAGGGCCTTGCTAAGTTGCTGAGGTTGGCTTTGAACTCATGATCCTCCTGCCTCAGCCTCCTGAGCCACTGGGACGACAACAGGTATGCGCCACTTTTTAAGATGATTTAAAAATCATCTTAAAAAGTGATTTTAGGGTATCTTCAAATTTTTAAATATTCTGTAGTTTTTGACATTGAAAATTCTATCGTGACCCGTGTTCAATTTGAACTTAATGAAAAATCTTCATCCAATTCACATGTGGTTAAAAACAGAGAGAATCGTCGAGTCTGCCATCTCACAAAATGGAAACAAAAAAGGTGAAGGTCATTCACGTCCCTTTCTCCCACCCAACGAAGCCTGGAGAGATGACCTTCTGCTATGAACCACCTTGGGTTCTTCAGATACCTGCTGCTCCTCCTCTGAGCCGAGATGTCCTTACCTGGAAAAGGATGCCCTTGGAGGGAAAAACCTTGTAACTTGCCTACGGTGGTGGAAACACTCTATTGATTTACGGGTCCTAGGAAGAAAATAAAAAGCAGAAATTAAATTCATTGGCAGAGCCTATGCACAATAATACCACAACAGTTTGGGAACAAGAATGGAGATCGTAAAAAAAAATACTGAAACTAGAACAGTTGAGCTAAGGATAAATCACGTCTGTGTATAGATTTTTTTTGGGGGGGGACGGTGTGAGCTAGCCAGAGTGGCAATTCTTCGATGCATACAGCAGATTAAATCCGTGGTCAGGATGAAGTTCTCAGCTAATGAGCTCACTTTCAAGGGGGACCTCCTAGGAGCTATGAGCTCCTGGGTGCACCCAGCCTTGGGGCTCACGGAGGTTCCTGCTGATGGCCAGCTGTATCTGCACAGGCAGCACCACAGACCGGACCACTGGAGACTGCAGGGGAGGAATCCGATAAAGGAATTGGAAGGGAAGTAAACAGAGAAGATGGGTCGCCCCCTAGTCTCCTGTCCACAGCAGGAAGTTGGTGAGGGATCCCCTGGGGGAAAGGCGTCCAGGGCACGGGTCATAAAGCCACACCGGATACTGTGCTATCAAGATCCTCATTAGCCCCACATAAAAGAAGCCCCTACTGCAGGTGATTAGGGGAAAGAGCGGTATAAAGCCCTAAAGGGGAGGATGACATCATGTCCCTTAAGTGGCAATCCGGGTGAGGTGAGACAGGAAGATGGGCGAGGTGCACATGACCCAGCATCTCTTTCCGGGATCTCTACAGATGTTTGGGAAGGGCTGTGGGATTCCCCACAGTGTAGACGCAAGCTCCTGTGGAGTTTATTGATGGACCGGGAGAAGCTGGACCCAGAGCCTCTGTGTGGAATCTGCTTTAGCGTCAAAGAGCACAAGGCTCAGAAGCATCGTGGTCGTGAGTGAGACCCCACAGTTCTGCTGCAGCAGAGCTGGAGACGGAACGAGGGCCACTCAGACCCCAGGCTCCCCACCCGTCTTGGTGTTCGCATGGCGATCTCTGCTCTTGGGGGTGTCCACTGGCTAGACGCTCCCTGCTTGCCGCTTGGCAGAGGACCACTGGACGTTGCAGGGCAACCACGCAAGGTGAGATCAAGAAAGGATCCTTCCCCCCAGGACTCCTTGGCTCCCACCAGTGGATGGACGTCACACCCTCAAGGGACAATATTCATTTCCAGATTACCAAGTTTCATTGTTTTCTCAGGAACCAAACAGGAGCGTAAATGTTATTCATTGTCAGAAAATTGATGAAGCAAGAACACTTTATTCTTCACGAAGAAGCCTGCCAACTTCTTAAAATCAGCCCGTAAAAGTGAAAGGGCAGATCCTCTTACAATCCTGTTACAAACACAGTCACAACTCAGTGAAATTGCAAGTACATGAAAATCACCTGACTCTCCAGTTAAAATCACAGTCGCAAAATTCATTTTATACCCCAGTGGACAAATCCCCTTGAGCTTCATACATCCTTACAAATGCGGAGGTTTCTTGATAGAAACGTCAACTGCATGGTATCAGTGAATTGCCATACCTTTTGCATTATAATCATAATTCATCCAGTTGAAACTTTAACCGGTACAGAGATTTTTGCAACTTTGGCTCAGGCACAGAAAGGGACAGGAAATAGCAGTTACTGGTGCCCCAGTGGTTGAATTTAGTACCCACATTATTCAAAGTAGCTTTGGTCTCCAATGTTAATATTCAATTTATTATGGTTAGAAATTTAAAAAAAAAAATCCCAATTTGCCTTCGGCAAACTTGCATATTTAACCGGGTCATATATCTTATTTTAAATAGAAAGCTAGTTAATATGTCAATTACCTTCAAAGAATATTTTCCATTATGTTGGGATTAACAAATGTAATTATTTAGTGATCAGCTGTATGTTTGAAGCTTCCCTGGAAAATTTAATATATTAAATATATTGCCATTTTCTGATTCCTAGAGATACTTTCTCAGTCACTTAAGTCATTTCTGTGAATTTAATAAATGCTACACACATGGACGTGTGATGTCTTCTCTTCCTCTCTCTTCATCTTAATCCTGGTGTCCTACCTGACTTTTATTTATTTATTTTGGGGGGTACCAGGGATTAAACTTAGGGTCACTCGACCACTGAGCCCAATCCCCAGCCCTGTTTTGTATTTTATTTAGAGACAGGGTCTCACTGAGTTGCTTAGGGCCTCACCTTGCTGAGGCTGGCCTCCAACTTGCGATCCTCCTGCCTCAGCCTCCCGAGCCGCTGGGATGACAGGCGTGCGCCACTGAGCCAAGTTTACCTGACTTTTGTAGTGATGACGACTGTGGTGCTTCAGTTTGCTTCTCTGAGGGTGGGATAAGCAACACAGTCACAACACAGCCACTTAGGTAACAATGTTTCACTTCTACCTTGTTTAACCTCCATTTAAAGGGGTTGGCACTGACTCCTTCCGCTAGGACTCTCTTTTGTGCCCATTATTAGGTTGGTAAAATGCATCCACGTCCAGTGTGCCTTTCGCGTGTTCTCTTCTACTGCTCTCTAATTTCCCACTGCCCAGTACAGGACAACAGTGTGGTTGGCAGCGACATTTTCAAACACTGCAAAAAGAGAGTGGTTGGGCGGGGGTTGGGGCTCAGTGGTGGAGCGCTTACCTCACACATATGAGGCTCTGGGATCAATCCTAGCACCTCATAAAATAAATAAAATAAAGGTATCGTGATTATCTACAACTAAAAAAAAATATTTTTTAAAAAAAGAGAGAAACAAAGCTGGCTATGGTCACGCATGCCTGTAATCCCAGTGGCTCAGGAGGCTGAGGTAGGAGGATCGCAAGTTCAAAACCAGCCTCAGCCAAAGTGAGGCCCTAAGCAACTCAGGGAGACCCTGTCTCTAAATAAAATACAAAAGAGGGCTGGGGATGGGGCTCAGTGGTGGAGTGCCCCTGAGTTCAATCCCCAGTACAGAGAGAGAGAGAGAGAGAGAGAGAGGTTCACAACCTGCAAGCCGGTGTTCAGGTTGCCCATGAACTTAGTATGCAAGTCAAGTGCACAATGTTCCTGCCAACAGGGGACCTCCTGGGATAGATGTAGCTAATCTACATGCAGCACCATTTTCTTCCAAATACCTTTATATATTCTGCCATCTGTTACAACCACCACTTATATAGATACTTATAAGATAGCTCATAGGAGTCCATGCATTACAAGACCATGCCTGACACCATAATCACAGCTTCTCTGTCTCATTTGAGTGGCTACGATCCACACAGACCTTGCTGAATTAACTTGGCTCCTCTTGACCCTGGATGAGTGTTAAATTCTCAATCTTTCTGCAAACTGTGCAGGCTAGCATGATGCCCCTCCTTCACAAGATCATACGAGAATGATCTTGAATAACCCCAATGACCCCATTGTGCGTCTGGGCCCACAGGAGAGAATTATGTGGACACATTTCCCCCCAACCCCCCGGAATCCAAGAAAGTCTTTCCAGCATTCTGAAAAGTCCCTGCAGAATCTTGGGTTTGTGTCATGGCCTAGATGTAAATTTCTTTCTAAGTGATTGGATTTCATCTCGTCTGAAGACTAAAATAACAGGAAATAACTCAGAGACCAAGGAATGAATTTATAACAGGGGGAACTTACATAAGTTTCACATAAATAGCTCCAAGGGGAGAGTGTGATTTTTAAATAGCTTCAACTATATTTGAAAACCAAAGAGACGTTATATTTGAGGAGTATCAAATGGAGGGAAGGAATAGTCCTTCGACTCCAAACCCACCTCTTCCCTTCTGTTCCGATCCTCTTCCCCTTTTCTTTCCAATCCTGGGAACTGAACCCAGGGCCTCAGGCACGGTAGGCGAGTGCCTGACCTCAGAGCTACATCCCCAGTTCTCTTTGCCTTCTTAGGGATATTGAATATCCCAAGAAGACTCTTCCAGCCAAGACCACGACCCCTAAGTTAATACATTCATGTCAGTTCAATTCCTAATTCTCTCTCTTTTTTTTTGAAATAGTTGACACATTCATTCTTACACTTGAAGTAAGGAAGTAAAATAGATAAGTAAATACAACTCGTTCATTTCCAACTTTTGACTTTTAAACTCTATTGTTCTTTGTTGTTGTTATCCAGTTCATAATTCTTATTTTGGGGGTGGTGGAAGTTAAACTCAGAGCCTTCCTTGCTCATGCTAGGCGACCACTCTGTCACTGAGCTGCACCCAGCCACTCAATGACTGACTACGTTACCTCTACCTTGCCATCTCCAGGTGGCTGCCTTGAGAATTTTGGCAATCCCTCACTCTGTCCACCAACATTCGGGGAGGACATGGTGTTTCGGTCAGCCTGTTCACCACTGTGACCAAAAGACCTGACCGTTTCAGAGGAGGTAAAGATTATGGTAAAGCTCATGGGTTTGGAGGACTCAGTCCACAGATGGTGAGTCCATTGCTCTGTGCCCAAGGGGTGGCAGGACAGCATGGCGGGAGAGTATGGCAGAGGAAAACCACTCACAACATGGCCATCGGGAAGCAGAGAGAGTCCCCTCACCACAGACAAAATACATATCCTCATGGCACATCCCCAATGACCCATCTCCTCCAGCCACACCCTACCTGCCGATAGCTATCACCCAGTTAATCCATTCAAGTGGATTAATCCACTGATTAGGCTAAGTGTCTCATGACCCAATCATTTTAACTCTAAACTTTCTTGCATTGACTCACACTTGAGCTTTGGGGGATGCCCTCATTTCTAAACTACAACACATGGTATGTGTCTGTCATTAACCCAAGAAAAGTATGTGTCATGTTGGTGACGGAGACGTAAAAAGTTTTTGTTTTTGTTTTTTAATGAAAAATGATTGCAAACATTGAATTGATTCTTAGATTTTCAGACAGGAACATGCTCAAGGTAGACACCTCTGATTTGCAGATCTTGCCTATAAGAGCATCCCCAACCACCCTTAGTTGCACACCTTTATGTGAGGACTAACTCTACTTCTCAATCTCCTTCTAAGTGAGGGAGGTGGTGATCTTATCTCCGAGGACAGTAGC